TCGATGAGAAAAATGGGATGCTACTGTACGATGTATTATAAGAACAGTAGGTATATGAAAGCAAACTTTTTAGTGAAAAAAATAGTTTTTTTTTTTAAAGACAGTTTTGCGATATGACGCTTTAACGTCAGTTGACCCGCACCAATTGAAATTTTCACATCTTTAATAACTTATTTCTCAAAAGCAGAGTAGAGTTGCCCAAAGAGAGGAAAAGAAAAATTATGTAGAAATGAATTCTTTCCGACTGAATTTACATAATCGATTCAACGTCACCAAGTTTCTATCGCGATGGTATTCGCAAGCTGTCAGAAAAATTGCAAAAGGTCATTAACAATAATGGAAATTATTTATTATATATTAGGAGATTTTGGGAGATTGTGTTTTTATACACATACGGTGTCGGTGTTCCTGAAGAGGTTAACATACACTTTTTCCAACGGCTAACTTCTTTATATGCTACTTGAAAAATGAAGCTAAACTGTAACACTGGTCAAATTTCCAAGAAGAAGAACCGAACGAAGAAAGAAATACTAGGCTCGTGAAGCAGCAGCGTTCGGATATTTTCCTTTCAGAGAATTAGGTGGCTTCCTTCCATAAATTGCTTTGCTTTGGAACGCGTAAACGCGCGACAACCAAAGAGCACAATCTCCTCGGGGGCTAATAATACGAGCTGCAAAAGTTCGCTTCGCAAAGACGCGCCCACGCGACGCAGTTTCGCAGTTTCTAGCCCGAGTCTTGAGATGATTTTAGTATCTCATCGGCCCTCGACTTAATCGCGTGCAAGAGTCGGATTCTACTTGCGTTTTCATGCTCGAAAACTTTCGATAATTCACGTGCGCGTGTGTCGAATTTTCAAAGTTCGCTCTAATCTAGGCTTGTGACTCGTTCGAAAGGATCATCTTCAAGCGTGCGACGACTTTTTCTGATACTTTCGTACGATAAACACAGTTCTGAAGAAATTAGCAGGCGTACCTTTCGGTTTGAAGCTTGCTGTTTATCGTAGTGAGGTTTTGGTCTTCCTAGTGATTGTTGTAGTTTACTGTTGTTCGTGAAGATCGTTCCGAAGAAGTCACCATTACGGACAAATCTGAAAAAGACACCCCTGCGAAAGAAAAAGCAGGGGTACCAACGATTTGTGTAAATGGGTATGTAGAAAGATGCGAACAGAAATTGAGATTGAGCTTTCTTGGAGAATGGTATTGAAGAAATTGAACGTTTGCTTTGTCATTAGTTATTAACGACTGTTGGTTAATTGGTAATTTCATTCCATTAAGCGTCGTTGGTTAATTGCTTGCTTAATATAGACCAGTTTTATCTAGGAACTTTTCTTATGAACTTTATGTTAATTTTGGTACGATTAAAGAAAGTGTTTTTCTGGTAAACAATTGTTTTTGTATCCACTTTTTTCAAAAAGCACGTTGCAATGGCGAAAGGATTTGCAAAGATCGTGGTTTCAAAGAGAGGAGATTCTTTTATCAAGGACTTTGGGGGATTTTTGACAAATTTAATTCAGTGCAATGAACATTTTTATTTGAAATTGTAACGACGTTTGTGTTAAAATAATAAATAATAGTGTGGAATCTAAAGTTCAGGATAAAAGTGCATAAAAGTGTGTGAAAAGTAAGTGACATCACAAACTGTAACAATATTGTATTTAGGTGTAAATTAGTGTTGTATAATTTAAGAATCTTTTGTTTTTGGTAGTGTCTTCTTCAAATTTAACAGTGACTCCTTTAAGCAGTCTAAAAATCAGAAATTCGCAATTACTGATATTACTGAAACAAAATTAACACCGCAGCAGATGTGTAAATATAATAAGAAAAATAAAATTCAATAAATAGACACATTAATGAAAATTCAAACGGAAACTTTGCGTACTCGAATCAAACGCTCGTAAATTCGCAATCTGAAGAATCGTTAGCGTTAAAAACGTCATTCTCACTGTACATCAAGAACCGTTTTCAATACCAAAAAGAGAAAAACGATCGGCTACTGAACTTTCTTTTCGTATTAAAATAATCTTCCGATTTCACTGCGAAACGTGAAAAAAACCGATCGTCGAAGAAATCCCAAAGTTATAACGCGAATTCAATATGCACATTTCCATCGATCGATGCGTTCGGTAGGTCAAATCTGCTATGTAAAAACAATTAGCCTGAAAATTAGCCGCGCATTCTACGTGATAAATCATCTTTCCGACAGGTTCGTTCTCGACGGTACACGCGGATGGATCAAAAAGACCGAGTTCATTAACGATCGCTTAGAAATCTAACGTTCATCAAGGAAAAATGATGATTTCTCGTTGCGCATTTCAGTTTAACGTCGTTTCCATGAAATCCTCGTCTATTACGTTCCGTCGAGACATTGAATATTCAGCGTTCAACCGTGCATCTGAAGAGAACGCCAGAAACGAATTTCAGTTCCGTGAAAATTACACGCAGGGTTAATAATCGCACCGCGGGTTCGCGAGGACAGACGGCTTGAGGGGCGGGGAGGGGATCGCAGGCGCGAAAATGACCACAGAGAAATCAACTCGCTCCAGTTCTGCTAATAAGGCCGCGTCGTTAATTGCCCTCCGTCACGGCGGCTGATCCCTTATCGTGTGAAAGTAATCGTCACAGCTCTCGATAACGAAGATTGTGAAAGAGCGCACCGCCGAAGATAGATTTTCAGGTTTCTCTTTTCTCCGGTTACACGCGTGTAATCGCTATCCTCTCGTGAAAGAGAAACTTCCCATTGTGTCGCGCGTGTCCGCGCTACCGGAAGCTTACGCGTATACATACGGTGTACGCGAAATGCCATGTGCGTCTCTGGCTCGCGCGACGCAGGTCATTCGAATGAGAGTGCAGTTTTCTGGCCTGCGTGTG